AAGAGTACCAGACAATTCGCAATGCCGTATTTTTAAAGATATATTAAGAAAATTCCAACTTAATGAAAAACTGATCAATGGTTGTATTTTATTATAATATGGTATTTCTGATGTCTTTTGAAACCATACTTAACTAAATATTTTTATTCATATAATTAGACAACATAACAGACCTGAACAAAAGATCTGTATGTCTAAATTCTATAAAATTTCTAAAAGCATGTCACAAGTCCAAAAAGTACAATAAATTATAATAATTTCATAATATTTATTATAATAGTTCCTCTAGGAGTTGGTCACTCTCATACATTAAAACTTTGTTATCAGTTAAAAAATAATACAACCTTGAAAACTTCTGATGGCTCCATGTAACTCTCTTAGCCCTGCCAGCACCAGCATTATTTCAGACTAAAGGGATGACCCATGTATTCATCATCTAAAGTACCACCAACAGAATGCCTGCCTGAGATCTAAAACAACATAGCAAGAATCTACTATCACCATAATGAATAGGCTTTGGAGCTATAAATTGTTTCTGATTTTAATCTCTAACCGTAAAATAAATTCAATTTAATGAACTCTAAAAATAAGAGCAATTAAAAATATTATGTGAAATACACTTAAAAATCATTGAAATTAATGTTTAAAAGGCATAAAAATAAGCTCATATGTGACAGATGGTAAGAAGTTACATGTTGTTACAGGAAGATGTTGTGAGAAGACCACAAAGATGCTTGAGAATCAAACAAGACTATAAACAGAAGAGCTGATATAAAAGCAATAGAGGAACTTCCTAAGGTAGAACCAAAGAATATCCAAAAGAGATCTACCATTGTCACCACAAAAAGCATTTGCTAAACCACATGCTCGTAACACTAATTAAACCAAAGAACAAAATGTTACAAAATTGGAGCCACACAAAATTTATCACTAAAACCTAACAGTTTAATGAATGAAGTCATAAAAATATTCACTTAATAGAAAGGAAGGTTTAGTGATCTCATGGTTCCACTGGCAGAGAGGGGTTGCAGTGAATAACAGACCTTATAAATTCCTGGTTTCCTTATCTAAGCTTAGCTAGTATGTCTCTAGAACTCAGGAGAATGCCTGCAAATCAATTTTTACGTTTTGGTTCTAGAATAATGAAACTGTAACAAGGGTCTTCTGATGCCATTCAGAAAAACAGACACATTCAGCCCACCTTGAATGTGCATATCTAATTAAAGCTCCAAGATGAACAGAGGAAGGAGGGAAAAAAAGAGAGCACCATTTGCACTAACTGCCCTTAAGGCAGATTATTTAATCATGCATTTACCTAGGAATTTTTTCTGTAGCCTCGAGATGACTTCATTAACAGCAAGGAAACAAGTGGGCATACAATGCCTGTATATACAACTGAACCATAAAGAATAGTCGAAGTGTTGTACCCTTACCATGTGCTAAGGAAGCACTTGTAATCCTCACTAATAATACCCTATGAGACAGGTTCATTACCCTCACTTTATAGACGAGGAAGCCTAGGTACACAGTGGTTAAATCCCTTGCCAGAGATTATAATGTCACTAAGTGGCTGAAAAACAAATCCAGTTTTTCTCTGTTACAACTAGAATAGGAATTATGTTTTCGTAATTACCATGTAATTCTACTACTGCTCTTTGTTAAAGGGTACTACTAGAATCCATTTTAACATAACAAAACCCCCACACTTACTGAAATATTTTAAATATATAATTTACCTTGAAAATGAGTCTTTTGAAATCTGAAAATTTTTAAGCAATTAATTTTTATGCTAAAAATTAAGGAACACTAGCCTACTCTAGGAAATTTATCTAATATTTTAAACTTAGTTTGTCTCTTTCAGTAAGAAATACAAACACTTTCACTAACAATGCAGTGTATCATTTTAAATTTTTCAGTAAAACTCACCCAATTTTACATCATTTCATGTATAAAAGTAGTCAACTCAAACTTCCCCATCTTTAGAAGAGAACATCATAGCCCTGGCTGCTGTAGCTCAGTGGATTGAGCATGGGCCTGTGAACCAGAGGATTGCACTTCGATTCCCAGTCAGTGCACATGCCTGGGTTGCAGGCCAGTTCCCACACAAGGGACCCATGAGAGGCAACCATACATTGATATTCTCTCCCTCTCTCCTTCCCTTCCCTTCTAAAGATAAATTTTTTAAAAATCTTATTTAAAAAAAAGAGAACATCACAAATAATACAAAAACCATTTATAGTTAGCATTAGAATGCTCGAGACGTAACATTGTGCTTTTCCGCCACCTTCCCGTGCCACCATAATGAGGCGTATGAATGTACTGGCAGATGCTCTCAAGAGCATCAACAATGCTGAAAAGAGAGGCAAACTCCGAGTTCTTTTTCCAAATTTTTATTTACTGATTTGAGAGAGAGAGAGGAAGAGAGAAAAGGGGAGAAAAAGAAACACTGATTTGTCATTCCATTTATTTATGCATTCAATGGTTGCTTCTTGTATGTGCCCCAACCTGCAACCTTGGCTATCAGGGCAACACTCGAATCACGGGCCAGAGCCCAAACTCCAGGTTCTTACTAGGCTGTGCTCCAAAGTCATCGTCTGTCTCTCACTGTGATGATGAAGCATGGTTACATTGGCAAATCTGAAGTCACTGATGATCACAGAGCTGGGGAAACTGTTGTGAACCTCATGGGAAGGTTAACGTGTGGAGTGATCAGCCCCAGATGTAATGTGCAAAGACCTAGAAAATGTAAGAACAACCTGCTGTGGTCCTGTCGGTTTGGTTTCACTGTACTGCCAACTCAGTGGGCATCATGGACCATGAAGAAAAGACAAAAACAGGAGGGAAAATCCTGGGATTCTTTTTCCAGGGATATAATACATATGGGCAAACAAAATGTCTCAATGAGGAAAAAAGGGCAAAATAAACACTGTAAATATGATAAAATAGAAAAACCCTGGGCTACAGTCCAGAGATCGTCCACCAAACCTGGCTCCATCACTAACTAGCAATTTTGTTCCTTCCACAGCTCTGGGCCATGGTTTCCAGATCTACAAATTAATCATCTCCATGGTCTACTCTTCCAGTTCTGGAAGAAAAGGTATGACTTATACACACATACTTTTTGTTCAAGCTTCCCATTCTCCCTTAGTTCCACAAATGGAGGAAACAGCCCATTCTAAACACAGGTGATAAGGGACAGCTTTTCCCACCACTGGTTTGCTACAGATGAGTCTCAAGGTGAAAAATGTACAAGGTATTATAATGTTAAAAGGTGTTAGGTTTCAATATTTTAGGCTACTGTTTTGTGTGCCAGTACATTCTCCCTAAGGACGAATAGTGAAATTCAAGGACAATCAGGAGAAAAAATGTAATTATCCATTAATTATTCAAGAACTAAGAAGGTGCCAACTGAAAACATTAACTTTTTGTAGAAATGTTTTCTCTGACTGATGAATTGCATTAATAGGCAAAATCTGATCTGTACAATTTTCTCAAATAGCTTTAAGTACTCCCTAAAAAAGCTTTCATTTTATAAATTATGAGAAATTAGTAAGATAACATATATAATTAAGGAAATATTTACAAGATTAAAAATCTAGCCATGCAATTCTTAGCTGCTGCTTCTCAGTGGCATGAAAAACCTCTATGGGCTGCCACAGAGGTGGATTCTGCGGACCGCCACTGCCTAACCCCGGCATGCATTTTCTAGGTTCCTAACCCACTCTCAAGAGTGTTATGCAAATACAAGATTCTTAAAATTGAAGGAGGCAACTGTTAGAAAAACTCAACCTGATTTTAGTATTGGTTTCTAGACTGCTAGCTTACTAACACCTTCCCAGCTCAACACAAAGTTAGATTAAAACTTTTACAGAATTTGAGGTTTGATTTTCCATGACCTTGTAAAGAAACAATTAAAAGGAAGGGAAAGAAAGTATGCGAAGTATTTATTCATTTTGTATAGTAAAAATCAGTAGCAAACTATAATAGTACAGTCCAGTCCAAATGTTAAATTGGGAAGAACAAAGCCACTGTTATAAATGGAGAGACCTCGAGAAAGGATCTTCAGCAGATGGAGAGGCTGCTACAAGCATTTCAAGGTGCAGTTTCGAAAATTTCCGGCAAAACTAGTAACTGGTAAAACACCACCAAACACATATGTACATTTAAAAATATAAGGTAACTGACAAGGTCTAGCTGCGAGCCACCTTTTGGCGGTAATGCCAAAAGAAAATGTCAAAAATGACCTCGTGACTCCAATCCCCCCTCAAAGTTGAGACCCAAACCAAGATGTATACTTAAACTGTTTCGTAGCATCCTTCTTTAAATGCAGCTCCCTCTCCCAGAAAGTCACTTAGCTTCAGCTACTTGAATGTCCAAATCCCAGCACCCAAGAATCTTAGGACCCCAAGCAGTTGCAGAGGGGTCTTCCAGAACCCGCCTGCGCATCCCTTTCCATCTCGAGTTAAAACCCCGGAGGTGCTACAGTCACTTGCCACATGCAAGCCCCCCAGTTTTCCCTCTCATCTCCCAGTGGACCTCTTCTCTTCGACCTTGAGGACCTCTCCGGATCAGAGCCTTAGAGCCCCAAGCGAGTTGGCAGATGCCCCCTTCCCTGCAGCGCCCGCATTGCCCCACAGTCCCCGATGGCCTCCCCCATCCACCTCGACCCGAATCCCCGAATCACGAATGCCCTCCTACAAGACTCGGGCGACCCACTTCCCCTTAGGCACCCCGCATTCCTCCAACCAGAAAATAATTCCACAGAAATGCATCGAGAGTCTACTAAGCAAAAGCTCCCACTACGCGGGGCACGGTCGACACAGGGGTCGCCGTCTCATGCCAGAGGGACGACGCTGCCTCCACCCTGGTGTGGAAGCACCGGTCCGAGGCGGACTGCGCCGGGCGCGGGCACCAGGGACCGTAGAGGCGGCCGCTAAGGGCGGCACAGGGGCCGGGTAGCGGGTGCCGGCCGGGCTTGGCACGGCCGCGGGGACACTCACCGGCCGGGACGCGCTGGGCGGCCTCATCCAGGGGCACCTGCGGCCAGGCAGGATGGGCCCGGACGGCGCAGTCACCGAGAGGGCGAGTCCGCCCGCCCACCGATCCCGTCCCCTCCGACTGCCCGAGCGAGCGCAATCTCCCTCCCTCCAGACGGAGCGCGGATACCCCAGCTCCGCCGGATGCCCCCACCAGGCCCCCACCCCCTTCCCCGGCCACCTCCCCCTCTACACCCTTTTCCCCTCCCCCCTCCCCCCAACCCCCACCGGAATGGAAAATACCTCCCGGGGCGGGGGGCGGTGGGGGCACGCCTCTCTGAAGGGCAGCCTACCGTGACCAATAGCAGGCGAGACTCTGGAGGGGCGGGACTTACAGTGACCAATCCAGAGGCACATAGGTGAAGGCCGAAGGAGGGTGGCAAGGAGCTTGAGGAGGGTGGCCCGGGAGTCAGGGAGGTCCAGCGGTTCGGGTGCGCGCAGTGCGCGGCTGCCATTTTGGAGTCGGGGAGCTGCGCGGCCCGGTCCGGCCCGAGGGGGACCGGGAGGAGCCTGTTAGGTGGGAGCGAAGTGGTCACGTGAGCTTGAGGGGCGGGGTGAAGCGAACCGAGGCTCAAGGGGAGGGGTCGACAGCGGCGAGTCACGGGGACTGAGAATGGTCACATGGTCGGAGTGGGGCTAACGGTGGGCTTGGGGGCGGAAGGTCAACCTGAAGTAAGAGAAGGAAGAAAACGTGACTTTGGTTTCAACGCTGTTAAGGAAAATGAAAGGAAAACTGAATGGATAGTGTGAGCGTCGGGTTGGAAAATGTGAATGAATCTCATTAGCTTCTAGCATGGGGCCTCCAAATCACTGAATTCTACTATCTGCTGGAAACTGGGTACTTCAGTTAATTCAAGTATTTCTATCCCTTTTGTCAGCTGTCATAAACATGAGTCACAGATCAGAGGGACAGGTGTTTCTCTCCCACTTTTTTGCCTGCACTAGAAATGGCTGAAAGGTTAGAAACATCGTAGTGGAGGCATTATAATGCTGCCAGGACTCTTTCCATGTGGCCTAGAAACCTGTCATCATTCATAAACTTAACAGCCACCTCTGTGTTAGGCATGTTCAATATCCTGTTCTAACTCCTCCAAACATAAACAACTACAAAAACAAAAAACCCTTACCTAAGAGTTGCTGTGTAGCTCTCATTCTTATTTTAATTCATGCTTCAAGTACAGGCTAAATTACACTCCCTACTAGTCCACTGAAAGTGCTCATCTTAAGGCTACCAGTGATGTCCATGTATCCAAGTTCAAGGGTCACTTTTTAGTTCTTACTTGGACTCTGTTGCCATAGTCCAATGTATCTATAGTCCATGTATCTATGGAGTATACATGTGAAGCTTTTTCACCTCCCCAGTATACTCCTCACCCCAGTTTTCCCTGAAACCATAAACGTTCAGGTTGTCTTTCTCTTTAGTTAACGTAAATCATCTATTCTTTGTTGACTCTTGAAGAGCATTCCAGCATCTGATCCTTAGTCATTCTGTTCTGTCATAGGTGATCTAATTATTTTGATGGCTAGATACACCTTTTTTAAAAATATATATTTTATTGATTATGCTATTACAGTTGTTCCAAATCCCCCCCCCTTATTCCCCTCTGCCCTGCACACTCCCTCCCACACTCCCCCCCTTTAGTTCATGTCTGTGGGTCATACATATAAGTTCTTCGGCTTCTACATCTCCGACACTATTCTCAACCTTCCCCTGTCCATGTTCTACCTACCACCCATGCTACTCATTCTTTGAACCTTTTCCTCCCCTCTCCTCCTCCCATTCCCCTGCTGATAACCCTCCATGTAATCGATCTCCATTTCTGTGACTCTGTTCCTGTTCTAGATGTTTGCTGAGTTTGTTTTTGTTTTAAATATGGTTGTTAAATAACTGAGTTTGCTGTCACTTTACTGTTCATATTTTTTTATCTTTTTGTTCTTAGATAAATCCCTTTACCATTTCATATAATAATGGCTTGGTGATAATGAACTCCTTTAACTTGACTTTATCTGAGAAGCACTTTATCTGTCCTTCCATTCTGAATGGAAAGCTTTGCTGAATAGAGCAATCCTGGATGTAGGTCCTTGCATTTCAGGAGTTGGAATACTTCTTTCCAGCCCCTTCTTGCCTGAAAGGTCTCTTTTGAGAAATCAGCTGACCGTCTTATGGGCACTCCTTTGTAGGTGACTGTCTCCTTTTCTCTTGCTGCCTCTAAGATTCTCTCCTTATCTTTAATCTTGGCTAAGATAATTACGATGTGCCTTGGTGTGTTCCTCCTTGGGTCCAATTTTTTTGGGACTCTCTTAGCTTGCTGAACTTCCTGGAAGTCTACTTCCTTTGCCAAATTGGGGAAGTTCTGATCCATTATTTGTTCAAATAAGTTTTTAATTTCTTGGTCTTCCTCTTCTCCTTCTGGTATCCCTATGATTTGGATGTTGGAATGTTTAAAGATGTCCTGGATGTTTCTAAACCTCTCCTCATTTTTTTGAATTTTTGTTTCTTCATTCTGTTCTGGTTGAACGTTTCTTTCTTCCTTCTGGTTCACACCATTGATTTGAGTCCCAGTTCTGTTCCTGTCACTGTTGTTTCCCTGTACATTTTTCTTTATTTCACTTAGGGTAGCCTTCATTTTTTCATCCACTTTGTGACCAAATTCAACCAATTCTGTGAGCATCCTCATTACCAGTGTTTTGAACTGTGCATCTGATAGGTTGGCTATGTCTTCATTGCTTAGTTGTATTTTTTCTGGAGCTTTGATCTGTTCTTTCATTTGGTTTATTTTGTTTTGTCTCGGTGCGCCTGTTACATAGTGAGGGGCAGAGCGTTAGGTGTTCACAAGGGCGGGGCAACTCATGTCACTGGGCTGTGATGCTGTATGTGGGGCAGGGGTCTGAGAGAGAACAAGGGCACTTGCTTGCTCTCTGATGGTTTTCAGTCACTTCCCCAGCTTCCCACAAGTAAATTGGGCCCTTCTTGTGCTGATTCCTGGGTGGGTGAGCTTGTGTAGTTCTAGGACCCTATGGGTCTCTCCAATGAATTCTCCTGTGAGGCTGGGAGTTTTTCTTGCTGCCGCTTCAACCCCCACAGATGTTTTCTATCAGAGGTTTGAGGCTTTATTTCCCCCTGCAGGAGCCCTGGGATGTGCGGTCTGTCTCACTCCCCAGTTGTTCCTCCCAGTTTATCTGCACATGAATGTGGGACCACCCAGTCCACAAGCTGCTGTCTTACCAGCCAGCTGCAGCCTTGCCCACCCCACTCCACAATCTGCCACCTTGCTGGGCCTACCAGCCGCCGCCTTGCTGTGAGTCCTCTCTGCCCAGCTGCCCATCTCTGCCCCTCCTACCAGTCTGGATGAATGTTTCTTCTTTAACTCCTTAGTTGTCGGACTTCCATACAGTTCAATTTTCTGTCTGTTCTGGTTGTTCTTTGTTTTTAGATTGTTGTTGTCCTTTTACTTGTGCAAGGAGGCACTACCTACACCTCCATCTTGGCCGGAAGTCTGGGTATACCTTTAAAGAGGTCCCTATCTGCATATTGTTCCTGACCATGGGACACCCTACCCCTTCAATTTTTATCCTGTTGGTTATAATTATGAAATGCCCTTTTCTCTCTATTTAGACAGCCACTGCCTCACCTGGGCCATTTATTCATTAGGCCAATATTTACTAAGCACTTTACTATGTACTAGGCATTGTTTGAAATGCTGAAGATATAGTGGTGAACAACAGTGACAAGGTTCCTGAATGGGGTGAGACATGTACAAGAGTATATCAGGAAAGTGGCAAATAAACAAGATAATTCAGGGGGTGCTAAGTGATATGAAGACAAAAATCAAACCAAGCACCACCACAACAAAAGACAGGGACACCTGCAAGACCCTCCTGAAGTTGTCGCCCAGCTCTTCACCTCAGTCTGCCCCCACACTCCCAAAACTCGTCCTTTCTTCTTATTCTCAAAGAGAAGGAGCCCCACACCCTTTCCCCTGGGGTCTTGATTTTGTGCTCTTTCATCTGCCAGCACTTCCTCTATCTTTATGTTACGGTTGCCTGAATACAAATCCCCCAACTAGAAAATAAGCTACTTTGAGGGCAGGAGTTATAACCTTAGTTTATACATCTTTGCGCCTTCTCAGCACCTTGGCTCAGAATAGCAGTTCACAAAATGAGTGTTGAATGAATTGGTGAATCCCCTGACACCAGCATCACGCTGCCACAAAAGCATCCCCTGCCCAAATCAGGGTCAGAGTAATAATGAATGAGGTCAACTGGGTCAGTCCCTTCCCGGCCTGGGATTGCATGATGCTGTGCCCCATGTGTGGTGGTAGTTGCTTCATAAACACTATTTAGTTGACAGGGCCAAGTACAATACATGTGGACAATTTAAAAGTAATCTTTGTTTCCGATGATCAGCTTCCAACCCAGAGCACTTTGGGTGAATTGCCAGGGCAGTCTCTGCAGGAGAAGGTTGCAGCTGCCACTTCACTTTGCATTTCCAGGCCCTTGGGTATGGCATGGCACCCCAACAGGGAGGAAGATGTCACCAGTTCCGGCATAGTCATTGTAATTAAACTTAAGATCTGGCAAAGGGAAGTACATAATTATGAAGTATTATTATGGTTTTATCATTATTCGACACCCAGCTGCCCAACCCAGGGAACCACAGTAGTAAAACACTGAGAAGCCAGGCTGCTCTCCCAGCTGGCATGAGCCGCTATCAGGTACATGGGCTCACGGGCTCATCAAGGTGAGTCCTTCTCTGCCCTCTTTTTAGCACGATAACATTTTAAATAAGTGGAAAGAGGAAATATAAGGGAAGACCTTTGCCACCACCTCTGAACTGAGTTCCTTTTTTTCCATCTCCCCAGAATGACCTCATCTATATATGAATGGTGTAAATCCTTTTCAACTTTATTCTTGATCTGCCAGCTTCCTGAACATCATTCCCTTATGTCTCCTGAGGATGTATTAGTTAGGGTGAGAGTACAGAGCGCAGGTAAGAGTGCTTTTACTTTCAAAAAACTTATGATACAGACTAAATAATTCAGAAAGTGTAGTCAGGCTTGACAAGGCATCTTCCTTTCGTTAAGTGCCTACTCAGTGCCATACTCAGCATTTCGCTTATGCTCTCTGACTGAATGCACACACAC